TTTGCGTGAAACATTTAGGTTTTGACTTTTCCAAGGCCTAGTGAGCTTCAGGTCATTTTCTCTAAGTGGTTTATTTTCAGTATTTGTTCACATTTCCAGATAAGCTTATAACCAAACATCTTAGAAACAATGTGACACCCCCACCCATGCAGTTTGGATAGGTTTGTTTTCTTTACCTCCATACATTTAATTTGCAGAATGTGGAATGTATATCTATATTACCGGTTTATTATGCTTTCAGGTCTTGAAGATGAAGGTTTTGAGATGCTTGATCAGCTGGCTTATTTATACCTGGCAAACAACAAGGTGAGCGATGCACCAGGAGTTCAACTGCTCAGAAGCACAATGGCCTGTTTGTTCCTTTGTCCTCAAAATGACTCATCTGTGTTGTTGTGACGGGCGGACGGCGGTCGCTTACGTCCCATGATTACTCTGTTTGACTGTTCAAAGCGGGTCAAAGCTAAAAAAAAAAACGTTTGTGACCTTTCTAGACACGGCAAGGGAGGGAGAAAAGAAGGACGGATCTGTGTGTTTCCGTAGGGACAGACAGGAAAACAGGATGCAGGAAGAATAGAGGATTTAAAAGTGCTCACTAAGCCTTAAAGACATCCGTGTTACTTTAATGCATAAACCCTGTTATTAAGGAGAAAGCTCTAAATGAATATCTAATCTGAAAAAGCTTCTCTGCCTTCTATATTCTCCACCATTTTATACATTTTAGCATTGCTAAAAGCCTTGATTTATTAAAGGGATATTCATTTTTTTTTTGCTGTGAGGGCATTAAGATAATGTATATTTTATCTGCAGCAAAACAGACTATGGATGCATGTGAAATGATGGGAAAATCGTGCAATAGCAATTTATTTTACACTGATTTCAGAGATTAAAAATATATGGATTCTTTACTCATAGACCTTTATTTATTGTCATTTGGATTATTATGGCTTATGAAGAATTAAATGTAAAGTTCAGTGTCTAAGAAAAAAAATAGCTACATTACATCATTAATATTTTGTCATATCATTTTCTGATGTGCCTTCAGCTCACCTCTGCACCCAAAGTTCTGCCGCCATCTTTAGTCAGTGCTGATTTTGCTGCCAATCAGATCTCCAGGATCTACCCGTACACATTTGGTCATAAACCAAATCTGAGGTACCATCCTGTATGCCAATGGAGTCATTTTTGTTTGCTCTATATTTCAACATCATATATCCTTCGTTTTTAATGGTTTACAGGTCTGTGTATCTCCATAACAACAAGCTGACGGACGAAGGACTTCCTGATCACATGTTCAATGCCTCCGACACCTTGGAGATCCTCACCATATCCAGCAACCTTCTGAGGGTCGTTCCCAACAATCTGCCACCCAGTCTTCTCCGCCTTCATTTGAAGGTCTAACACACTCAACAATAATAAATACTTAAAAAATATTTTCGAATATTAGAAGTTATAATATTTTTGAGGATAAATGCAACACAATGGGGGTATGTTCCTGCATTCGTTGGCTGCATAACAAGGAATCTTCCAATCCGAACAGGCCATTGCGCGGCGCTATGACGTAATCAGACAATGAATCTGGCTTTTGGAAGAGGCAGCCGCTGAATTCGAACTCAGCACATTTCACAAACATTCTTTTGAGAAATTTTGGGTCCAAGTTGGAGAAGAGTGACGGTGTTCTGTCAGATGAGCATACCCTGTCAATACCCATTTATCCCTTTAGTTTATCCCTTGAATTTTGTACGAACAATAAACTTTTAACTACCTCAACAGGTGTGTATCCCTTAAGTCCTGTACAAACAATTAAATTTCTTAGTTTTTGTTGTTTTTTTATGCATATGGAGACCTCTCCTTAAATATATATATATTTTTTTGTACGTAAAGGGATACACGCCCGATTAGGTAGTTTAAAGTCTATTTTTCGTACAAAATTAAAGGGAATCATTAGTTTGCCTCGTCTGTTCCTGTTTGGCTGTGACTCCATCTTGGAGAGAAACATCAGCTGTGCTGCTTCCATCAACACCTTTGTTTCTAGATGTTGGAGCTTGGCCTGTTTTTCAGTGTAGTCCTGTTTCTCTGACTGCGACTAACTGGATGTGCTCTCTTCATCCTCTGACATGGGAGTTTGCTCGGAGCTCGTCTGCCTGGCTGTTTACTTCCTGGACGGGGCCGCCTTTTACAGTTGCATTTTGTATCTCTGCTTATGTCTCCTTGAACCCCAGTCTGCCTCAGCAGATGGCCGCTCACACTGAGCCTGGATCTGCTGGAGGTTTCTTCCTGTTAAAAGGGAGTTTTTCTTCTCCACTGTCGCTACTAGCATGCTTAGTGTGAGAGATTGCTAAAGAGTCATTGAGTCGATGCAATCAACTGGTTTTCCTTGGATAGAAAACTTTGAATCAATTTGACTGGATGATCTGGTGAACTGGAAAGTGCCTTGAGAAGACATGTTGGGAAATGGCGTTATATAAATAAACTGAATTGAATTGAATTTAAGGGATTGCGCATGCGTATTGACTATGGGTATGCTCAGATTAATACAATGCAGTTGACATAATGATCTCTTATTAACAGCAAAAAACTTCAATTGCTCAGGTTTGCTTTCAAAGTTATTTTTGATAATGTAGCACAAAACATTTTTAAGTTAAATTAAGGCAAAACTACACTCAGCATGGTCTAAAAATGATTCAATTATTGTTAAAAATTATCAAATTAAAATTGTTTAATGGAATGTAAGGAGTACACAGAAGAAAATGAAACATCAATTTACTTGGGTTAAATTTTGATACAGCTCCAAATGAAAAATGTGTATTTCTGGTTTGAAACCATGAATTTCACTTTACCTAGAATGTAAATGTAATGTGAAATCCCTTACAGAGGGGGAAAAAACCCCAACCGAAACTAACGATTAGTTTAAAACAATGTTTTTTAATGTCCAACATGCCTACAGTTTATATATTTGGCATAAAATAAACCCTTTTCCTACGTCACAGAGTAACAAGCTGGAAGAAATCCCAACAGGAGCTTTAGGGGATTTACGAAACCTTAGAGAACTTTATCTCCAGAACAACCTCCTCACCAATGCTGGGATAGATAACGAGACTTTCAGGTGGGCTAAACACATTACTCAGAAAACCAAGCCATCAAAATACTCTTTACTGCTAAAAGCGCAGATACAATCAACTGATTTGCTGCATCCCTCTCTTTGCAGTCAGCTGAGTAGCCTTGAGTATCTCGATTTGTCTAATAACAACTTGAGCGTCGTACCTAAGGGTTTGCCTCGCAACCTATTGCTGCTGCACCTGGAGAAGAACGCCATCCACAGCATCCCTGGAGATACTCTGGTCTCCGTGCGAAACCTTGAATACCTGCTCCTCCACAACAACAAGCTGCGCTCCCGCTCTATTCACCCTATGGCCTTCCAGGTAAATTTAAAAAACAAAAAGATTAAAATGTATTAGATGTTACCTGCTGTCTTCACTGGATAACAACAGTCTTACTGATGGATTTTGAATATTTTTTGTACCCACTAGGGCTTAAAGAAGCTTCACACTCTACATTTGTACAATAATTTGCTGGAACGAGTTCCCAGGGGCTTACCCCGACGAGCCAAGACACTCATGCTACTCCACAACTTTATCTCTGAAATTGGCCGCAACGACCTGTCCTTTCTCTACACCCTGACGGAGCTCAATCTCAGCTATAACAAACTGACCAACTCTAAGATTCACCGTGACGCCTTCAGGAAGTTACGTATACTGGAAACTCTGGACCTGTCCGGGAATGCTCTTCATTCAGTGCCCCTGGGTCTTCCTCCAAGTCTACAGATTCTAGAAATCAAGAACAATCGGATCAGTTTGATACCAGAAGGCGCCCTGACAGGAATGCAGAAGCTGAAGAAGTTGATTCTGAGTGACAATCAGCTGAAACTTAACTCAGCCTACCAAGGAGCCTGGATGGAGCTCAGTGCACTCACAGTGAGTGGTCTGCAGTAAAGCTATGCTGGTAACATGTTTTCTATTGTTTTAGCACAAGGTTTGATAAGAGTCCCTAAAAACATGATGCTTTAGGCTTCTTGGAGCTTTTCTTCCGATCACACACTGCAAAAATTATTTAGAAATAAGTAAAAATTTCTTTAAATAAGTGTAATTGGCCTTAATTTGGGCAGGTAAATAAGAATATTTAGATTTGTTTATTTATTTGACAGGGACAGTGTACACTAATAAGTATTCAAATGCACCAGAATTAGCCAAAAGGCAATTTTTCATCTGTTGTCCCTGGAAAGATCTTAAAATTGTCTACCTACAGTAAATACACAACAAAAATACAAAAAAAGTAAAAAGAAACAAGAATAGCTGTTCAAAACTTGTTTAAGAATACAGAATTAATGTTTGCTAGACTACAGATTTTAGGTTAATAAATAGAATAAAACATTAAAATAAAAATAATTACTATATAATAATTATTATTATATAATACTATATAATAATTACATTAAATACACACATGTACATATACATACACATATACATATTGTTTGCCAATGGAATGAGTTTATTTACTCTTAAAATCAAATATTTAGATAATATGCACTCAAAATAAGACAATTTTTTCTAATTTTAAATGTAAATTGTATTGTTTCATTGGCAGTGTCCCACTTATTCCTCAATTTAATAAAAAAATGACTTATTGAGATTAAATTTTTTTTGCAGCTCATTAACACTTTCTGACTAGTTTAGTTATAAATTGGTACAGGGAAATTTTCAAAAAAAAAGATAAAAAATGACCCCAAGCAGGTTTCTTCTGTATTTCCTCTTTTTTTTCACCCAAATATTTTAGATTAATATGAGAAATGAGTGCAATTTATAATTTCTTCAGCTAACAATCCAAGTCCAGCCTTAAAGGGGAACGCCGTTTTTTTTACATTGGGACGTTGATTTTACGTTACCCATATGACTTTTGTGTCATTTGGAGCCGTTCTGAAGATATTCTGTTAGGTTATATCCAAGTAACGTCTTCCTATGGGCAACGACTTGAAAGCACAAACTGAACTGTCCATAATTTATTCTTTATGGTACGCCAGGATTCATAACATGCAGGCCAATCACTGTCCCCCAGACATCCACTTCATACACACTCCGCTTTGTTTTAAAAAAATATAAATATAAAAAATATAACCGCAGATGTCTGGGGGACAGTGATTGGCCTACATGTTATGAATGCTGGCGTACCATAAAGAATAAACTATGAACAGTTTAGTTTGTTCCTTCAAGTTGTTGCCCGTAGGAAGACGTTACTTGGATATAACCTAACGGAATATCTTCAGAACGGCTCCAAATGACACAAAACTTATATAGGTGAGTAGAACATGATGTAATAACGAAAAAGCAAGGGCCCAATGTAAAAAAAAAAAACTGCGTTCCCCTTTAAGGCACAATAAAACCGACCCCCTTGTTACATCATGAATCCTCTTAAACACCAGCAGAGGTGAGTTTTACTGGACATACAGATTACAATCCAGAATCATGAAAAAAGACGTGAATAGGCAAACAAATCTCAAAAAGGAGAACATATTATACTACAGTGTAAAGAATTGCAACCCCCCCCCAAAAAAAAAAAAAATAAATAAATAAAAAGTTTATAATAAAGTTATTTCTAAGGTTTCATAAAGCAAACAAAATGTGTTCCCAAAGAAAGGTAAGTGCTCCCAGAAATGGGCGGCCAACCATAATTACTCCAAGAACGCGATGATGATTTAGCCAGAGGAATGGAAAATAACCAGAACAACATAAAAATCCTCAGAGGCCTCTGTTAAACTGATCGTTTGGTTTTTTCTCCCTTTGTTTTATAATGAATATGAGTTCATCGAAAGAATCTTCTTCAGTTATTTTTTAAGGAAGAATGAGTTGGAAAATTAGATACAATGAAATAGTTAAAAAAACTAATACATTTACAGAGGTATATAAATAATTTAATTGTGTTAAATAAAAACTGCATTTAATGGATTTATCAAAAAACATCGAGATTAAACATATTTTTTGGATTATGTACAGTGGGGGAAAAAAAAGCTCATTATTCATGATTTGATCCATGAGTTCCAGGTCAAACCTGCTGTCTGATACGATGATAAATAAAAAAATAAAATAATAAAAAAGAAATGGTGTGAAATTAAAACCGCTTATCTCTCAGAAATCTTTTTTTTTTTCTTGATATGTTCATTTTTGGTGTTTTAAGCAGGGGTTATCTGTTCACTCTCTTATTATTCTCCTTTGTTGATTTTTTTTCTTCTTTTTTTCATTATTATTTTAGACATTGGACCTTTCTGGTAACCAGCTAACTCATATTCCATCTGACCTTCCTGAGTCCCTGGAGTACCTTTATCTGCAAAGCAACCGCATCTCCAGTGTTCCTGCTTCAGCTTTTGAAGGGACGCCAAACATTAAAGGCATCTTTCTTAGGTAAGAAAAGCACAAACATCTGCTTTTCTAATGATTATAATGTTCCTTGGTAGCAGCTGTCCATGACACTAAATCCACTACTTGCTGCATTGTTCTGGTTCCAGTGATTTTTGTGCAAAATGTCCTCAGCTTGTTGCACCTGAAATATTTCAGATTGTGGGTAGACTTCTCTTTGCACAAATATGCTTTCCACAAGCACTGGAATGTATGGAGTAAACTTGGTTCCATTATTATTTCAAGTAAAGAATATGTAGCGGAAACGGGAAATTTGAAAAAATAAATAAGATCCACATTTTGTAAATTAGAAGAGAAGTTGTAGAAGAAAAGGCAATCCAGAAATAAACCTTTGAAAAAAATACAGATTAAATGTACTGTTTTATGTTTTCTGTCATTTCAAATTATTACTATTTTATAGAAATTTGTTTCAAATGTCTTATTTATTCAAAATTTTATTTTTCAAATAAATGTATATATATATTTTTTTAAGGAATATTTATTTTCATATTTCATCTTTTCAAAAAAAAAATTATTTTACAGATTTTTTTCACATTTAAGTTTAGAAATCATATAGTTTTCATATTTTTTTAACCATCACATTCTTTTTACTTCTAGCCCAACAGAAACTTTTACTCGACCCATGAAATGTTAAAATCCATGCAGACAAAAAAAAAAAAACTCGACTCAAACAGTGAAGAGAATCTTATCTGTAAAACACAATTTGAAAAGATGCTAATTATAAAATTATAATTGAAAATATGAAATCAGTTGAAAGAAAAATATGGAAATATAAGATCTGTAAGAGAATGTTTTCATAATGACAAAATTTGGGGAAAAAAAATATTGAAATCAAAAAGTAATGTAAAATAATAGGGTTTGAGAAAACAGCAAAATTTCCTATTAAAAACCTTTCTAGTTTAATCTCAGGGTTCATTTTTTAAATTTTTTTAATTTTACCAAATATGTTTTTTTTTTCTTTTGCATTTACATTTTTAAGATGTGCTGTTTGCTCGAAGCAATGGAACAAAATTGAATTGATAGAATTGTTTGCTGGTGTTTGGCCTATTAAAAACACACCTAATCTGGCAGCCTTGTTAAAGATTAATCAAAGGCTCCAATCTCCCCTAACGATCTTGACAAAACACAAACAGTGCAGCTCCTCAGCTGAAGCTCTTTTCTTTATAGTAAAAAACATTCTATTCAGTTCTTATTGACGTTTTTCTCATTAGAAAAGAAACAAATCACTTCTTTATTGGTTTCACTGGACCTCAGCTCTGTAGTTCAGTGTAGTTAAATCCAACCATCTAGTTTGACAGGCTGAACTTTGATATAAATGGAGCATCACTCATCTTGCTGTCCCCTGCTTCTGACCTCAGCTCCACCTGCATGTGTTTTCTGGTGAGCCAGATTCAACTCAGATGAGGCTCATCTCTGTGGGTTTGGGAAGGCAAAGTGTCCAAAGTTGCTTTTTGAGAAACCTGTTGTGTCCAAAATATTAATGAGTGGATGTTTCCTATTTCGTCCGGTAATGCAGAAACGATAGAAGTCATTGTTTTAAGTTTCCAAAAAAATTAACGTTTGAAATCAGATTTAAACAAATGTCTATAGGCACTGGGAGCACTGGGATGACATCTCACCCGTCCTAAAATCAGCATTGACCT